CACCACCCCACCACCACCACCACACGAACCCCCACCATCATCACTGCCCTGGCGGAGCGGGCGCCCACGGGACGGCTGAGAGAGCGAGGTGAGGGACCGTGTGGAGGGGAATGGAGAACACGAGTATGCATGTATATACATATATGGGCCCTGGCCAAGGAGATGAGTGTCCAAGGACCTCCGAACAAACGAAACAACTCCCCCCCCCCAATTCGTGCGCGAAGCGTTTGCGGTGGACCGAAATCCCTCCAAAACGAAATATCGATTCCAGCAGGTGTGGGAATAGGCCAGGACCCATATATATATGTATATATATATAGAGATGTACAAAAGCATAGACACATGTGGAGCCATGTGTGTGGTGCAATGTATGTAGAAGAAACTATGTGTTGCAATCTACGTGGTGCGAATATACGTCGTGCAAAGTTTGGCGTTGGCTCGGGCATCTCTGCGGCCGCGCTAACGCGCGCAGGCTCGCGCGCAGAGTGGCCAGCCAGTCTGGCGCGACCGACCTGGCGCCGACTGCCAGGAATTTCCCAGCGCGTTTCGTAGGCCGCGCTGGCGCGCGGGCACGTCAGCGCGAGCGAGTCGGTGATTCGGGCGGGCGCGGTATCATGGCGATGTCGACACTTGCAGACACGACGACGATAGTACTAATGCTAACCGCGACGATGAAGGTGTTGACGGCAAGGGTAACGGCGGCGCCGATGCGGATCACGCCGATGACGATGATGGTGTATTTGGGACGAAGATGAAGGTTTGGGAACGATTTCGACAGGTGCCCACGGGCGACGCGCACACGCGCAGGATATGCTTTGACAGACATCGCGCCTCCCTCCCCAGCACGCGCGCAAGGGCCTTTGAATGATTTTGACATGCGCGCGAGAGGCGCGCTTGGCCGCATGTGATGGCAATGTCCAAAACATATGGTGTTATTACGAACTCGCAACAACGAAAGCGCACCTTATGATTTGAGAACTATTACGAATTAGCGTTTTTTACATGGATTCAGCATTTTGGATCTGGCACTGGATTTTGAAGCACTTGCGAAATCCAATTGTTTTGAAGGATTTCGGCATGCGCGCGCGACGACGCGCGCACGCGCATTCTGTCCCATTTGTTGCAAAGGGTTCGTGCGAAAGCACGCGCGCGATGGGCTCGGTTGGTCGCATGTGGTGAACAGATTATAGAACGCATCATTCGCGCAAGATTTCGCAAGAACGCGAGCGCAAGAGTTGTGAAAAGTCTTGTTGCGAAACCGTTGGGTTGTCACATACGTGTACACATATAAATATGTATGTATATATGTATGTATATATATATACGTGTGTATGTGTATATATAAACATATGTATATAGATATTCGGGACATTTGATTTCGAACCGCCCACGGAAACCAAGGGTTCGAAACAGGTTTCGACATACACGCACGACGACCCGCGCGTGTGTTACCCGTATGATTTGTTTGACGGATTTTTGGAACAATCTTTTCGATAATGAAGAAGTGTGCGCGCATAGTTTCTAACACAAGGGGTAAACGGGAGTCGACACTGGTTTGGTTGGGATGGTTCGAAATCAGATATAAACTGAACGATGGGCCAGATTCTTATGTAAATTGCACCCCCAATCGAAGGTCAGAAAACGAAAGTCCATGTTGTGCAATCAACTGACTACCCTGCACCGCGCTTGACCACCGCCAGCGCTCGCACAAACATCCCACACACCCACCCGCAACTTGGTTTGCAAAATCTCTTAAGACCCTGACGGTGGGTACCAAATGGCAGTTGGCAACGACAGCGACGCCGACGACGACAGCGACAACGACGACGAAGACGCCGCCGACAACGACTACGACGACACCGACGACGTCTCCAACGACTTCTATGTGGTGCCATGTATGTGGTGCAAGCTATGTGGTGCAATACGTGTTGTGCAGTTTATGTGGAACGATATGCGTGATGCAATCAATGTGGTGCAAGGTGTGTGTTGCAACTTTTGTGGAGAAATCCATGCGGTGCAATATCGGTGGTGCATTTTACGTTGTGCAATAGATGTCGTGCAATGTATGTTGCGCAATCTATGTTGTGCAATCTACGTGGTGCAATCTACGCGGCGCGTTATATTTTGCGTCGTTTACGTGGTGCAGCGATTGCGGAACAATCTATGTGGAGCAACGTATGTGTCGGCGACAGGGGCTGCGACGGCGGCAACAACCGCCAGACCAACAGAAATGCCCCGACGACGGGCGGCGACGAAGCGGCGACGGGGCGGCAACGGCGGCAACATAGCCGCCAGACAGGCCCACACGACGGGCGGCGACGAGGCAGCGACGGAGCGGCGACGGCGGCAACGTAGCCGCCAGACAGGCCCGGACGATGGGCGGCGACGGGCCAGCCCTGGCGCAACACAACTGCCAGACCGCCAGACCCTTGAGAAAGGAATTTAAAAATAGCGCATTTTGTGGTTGCTTGGGACGCCGTCGGCGATTCTGGCGGCTGCCAGCGCCGGCCCCGGCTCCCGGGGGGCGGGGCGGGGAGGGGGGTTTTGAACGCCCTCCCCTTTTGGGAGGGGAGGTGGGGGGGAGGTTCGGGAGGGAGGGGGGGGATTGGGGGGAGGGGAGTCTTCCTGGTTCTGATCGACGGCGCCGAGTGTTGGGGGTGGGGATCACCCCCCGGTACGAAACGCGCCGCCGAATGTTCCCAAGGCAAGCGCCCGTGAATCGCGCTCTCTCGGAAGTAAAAACAAAAAACACCCGAACATGTAGGGTTATGCCTAACCTTAAGGTCATCAGCGCTAACTGCAATCTCCCTCACATCCTGCCGTTCCACATGCTGCACGTTCCTCGTCCACACGTGGAAAGCGTCAGTAGGAGGTGTTCGTAGGGCGAGCATGAAAAACGGCGGATGATGGGAGGCGGAGAATAACGACAGGAAGGAGGAGAATCAAGAGGGAGAAGGGGAAGGGGGGAGATTAGGAAGAGGAGGAGGAAGAAGAGGAGGGGGAGGAGGAGGAAAAAGAGGACGAATGGAGGAGGAGGAGGAGGAAGAAGAAGAGGCAGAGGCGTAGAGGGAGGAAGGGGAAGAGGAATAAACGGAGGAGGAGAAGAAGGAGGAGGAAGAGGAGGACGACGACGAAGAGGAGGAGGAGGAGGAATAATAATATGAAAAGGAGGAGGAGGAGGAAGAGGAGGAGGAGGAGGAGGGGGAGGAGGGGCATAGGGGAAAGAGGAGCACGAGGATGAGGAGGAGAATTAGGAGGAGAAGGAGGAGGACGACGACGAAGAGGAGGAGGAGGAGGAGGAGCCCGCCTCAAGCGGAGCAGCAGGCGGCAGGCCCTCGCGCCGCGGAGGAGGCGCAGGAGTCCCCGGCTGCAGAGGCGAGTTTGAGGGCCCCTCGTCGTGGAGTCCAGGGACCCCCCAAAAGCTCCTGCACCTCACCCCCGCCTCGTCCCGCCTCCGAATCTTCCTCCTCCTCCTCCTCCTCCTCCTCCTCCTCCTCCTCCTCCTCCTCCTCCTCCTCCTCCTCCTCCTCCTCCTCCGCGCCCAGAGGGGTGCCTCGGTGAGTGGGCGACGCATCGGGGCCCTGGGGGAACTAAAACCCGGTCAGCCGTCCTTCGGGGCGCCGCTGTGGGTTAGGTCGGGTCCTGGGGTGCCGGGTTGTCCCGCTTGGCCGCTCGGCCCAGGGGGGCAGCGTGGCCTTCAGGGCACGGCCTCACCTGCCGCGAGAAACCGCACACTCGCGGGGGGTGGTGGGTGCGGAGGGACTAAACGGCCGGGGTCCTGTCCGTCCCAGCGCCAGTCTCCGCACTCGGGTCCTACCCCACCACGAGGTGGTCGGGTGAGGCTCATGGATGCGTGCCATTTGTTCCCCCTTTGGCAAGGGGACCTGCAGTGGTGGTCCTGGGCTCCGCTAAGTCTCGCGCCAGGTGGCCCACCTGTGCGGTCGAGGGAGTTCCAGAGTCCCAACCCGCAGAGGCAGGCGGAGGCTTGGGTCAGCGCGAGTGATTGGTTTGCGCGCGGTGGAGCGGCGGAGGCGCCGCTGGGGCTGCCTCTTCTTTTCCGTTCCTCCTCCCCCCCGCCCCCTCCGCGGCCCCTGCCCCCAGGTTTTTCAAGGATGGGCTAGGCGGCCCAGTAGAGGTGGGGGCCTGTCAAGGCACAGACCAGCGCGGCGTAGCAGTGGCCTGGCAGCTGCTCCGCCAAGAGGCCCGGGGCTGAGGCCGCCCGACCAGTGCCCGCCGCGACCGCGTATGCGGGCGTGCCAAGCGGTGCGGCACTCGTTCCACGGCCGGAGCACGGGCGTTAAAACTCGTTATTCTCCTCCTCCTCCTCCTCCTCCTCCTCCTCCTCCTCCTCCTCCTCCACCCCATCATCATCACCATCATCAGCAGTATCATCACCATCATTTCTCTCTCTCTCTCTATCTCCTCTTCTTCCTCCTCGTGTTCCTCCTCCTCCCCCTCCTAATCCTCCTCCTTTTCCTCCTCCTCCTCCTCCTCCTCCTCCTCATGTCCTCCTCCTCCTCGTCCTCTTCCTCCTCCTGCCTCTCCTCCTCCCCCTCCTCCTCCTCCTCCTCCTCCTCCTCCTCCTCCTCACCCCGCCTCCTGATGTTCCTACTTCCTCCTGCTCTTCCTGCCTCCTGGCTTCTCCTGCCTCCCACTGCCTCCTGATTCTCCTCTCAATTCTCCTTGTCCTCCGGCCTGCTGGTCATCCTGCCTCCTTGGACCAAGGAGGCAGGAGAACAAGTTGGTCGCCCCCAGTCGCCCCCCTCGCCTACCTCGGGCAGTGCCAGGAGGAGTCATCACTGAGGGCTTGCCAGCTCAGGCTCGGGGTGCCAGGATCGAAGCCCCAGGCGGTTCTTCAACGTCTGGGGCCGTTCCCGTGGGCCCTGGAGTGTTCCGGGGGCGCCCTCCCTCGAGGAAGTGGCGCTTCCCCGCGGCAGTGGCGACCCCTCTGGCCCCCCTTGGCGCTGCTTGGCTCCTGATCCTCCCGCCTCGACGGCGAGGTGGCTCAAGGACCACTGCTCCGTCAAGTTCGACGACAGGCCGCCGCCAGAGGACCGCTGTGAAGACCTCCCCTCCGGCGCGTTCCTCGCTTGCCCCCATCCTCGCCCTCCTTGCTCCTCCTCCCTCCTTTCCGTCATCTTCCTCGTCCTCCTCCTCTTCCTCCTCGTCTTTGTCCTGCTCCTCCTCCTCCTCCTCCTCTTCCTCCTTCTCCTCCTCCTCCTCCTCCTGCTCCTCCTCCTCCTGCTCGTGATCCTCCTCCTCCTCCTCCTCCTCCTCCTATGCTCCTCCTTCTCATCCTCCTCATCCTCCTCATCCTGCTCCTCCTGCTCCTGCTCCTGCTCCTCCTCCTTTCCTTCCTGCCTCCTCCTCCTCCTCCTCCTCCTCCTCCTCCTCCTCCCTCCTCCTCCTCCTCCTCCTCCTCTCCTCCTCCTCCTCCTCCTCCTCCTCCTCCTCCTTGTCCTTCTCCCCCTCCTCCTCTTCCTCCTTCTCTCCTCCTCCTCCTCCTCCTCCTCTGTCCTCCTCCTCCTCCTCCTCCTCCTCCTCCTCCTCCTCCTCCTCCTCCTCCTCCTCCTCCTCCTCCTCCTCAAGGGACGCACCTGTCCTCTTCCGGTTTTGCGTAACACGATGGTGATTTAGTTTCAAGAGGTTGCAGGTCGGCTATGACGCGCGCCGTCCGCGGATAGAGAAGAGATCAGTGCAATGGGAAGGGATGAGCGGGAAGGATCGGATGTCAGATATGGCGCGAGTGCACCCAGCTTGCCACCCCCTCTCTCCCCCTCCCCCGCCGTTCCTCCGTTTCGCTGTTTCTCCCCGTTGCTTACTGTTCTCTGTGTCGTTGTCCTACAGTCACCCTGCATAGTAAGGATGGGCAACCTTCCCAAGGGTACCCTTGAATTCTTGCCTCCTCGGTCCATCCTTCGCCACTTTCGTTGGCCGCGCCCCGCTCGAAAAGCTTCGACATAGGCGCCCAAGGCCCCTTGCATCCTTACCGCGCATCCTTACTATACGGGTTGGCTGTATTTCTCTCCGCGAGACCCCCGCCTTCGCCCCGGGGCCGCCTCCTGGGCCGACCCCGGGGAGGCCTGGGTTCTGCGCCCCTGGGCCGCGACACCCTCGCGCTGGTGCTTGGGAGGCCTCCCTCGGCGGCTCCTGGAGGCCCCCAGCCGCTCCGCGCGGAGCGCCAAAAGATTATGCCTATGGCGTTTTTTTTTTCCAGCAGCGAAAGGACTATCCTGGCGACGTGCTCGGCCCATCTGAGACATGCGCCTGCAGCAACGGGCGATGTTTCCAGGGATGCTGGCCTGACCAGGAGCGCGATTCGTCGTGAAGTTTGCGTGGGAGGGCTGCGCCTTGCACGGCTCACGGAGCAGGTGCAGGTGAGGCAGTATTCGAGGACATGGCACCGCAAGAGAGCAGGCTGGCTAGGTCTCGGTCCGATCTGTGTAACCACCTCCCCCACTCATGCCTGGACCCCCCAACCCCCTGGCCAGATTTCTGATCTTCCTTCTGCGGGGGCCCCTCTTCACGGCGACCCATTAAACCTTGGACCCCTGGCGTCACGCGGATTTCGTTCCTTCTTCCGCGCGCGCCTCGCCATAGGAACCCTCGAACCCTTCAGATTCGAGTACAACTAGTTCTTGAGTACAAATAGCAATAGCATGCACAAGCGCGCAGCTAGTGCTAGAGTGGGCCGGGTCCTAAAGTACGACATGGGGGCCATCAGCTGCAAGGGGAAGATGGATTGGATGCAGAATTTCAGTACAACTACTTTCAGAGTGTTGCCGCACTTGCAGTCTGAGTTCTCGCGCCTTTCCTCCTCTCGCTGGGCTGGACGGAACCCCACGCGCGAGCACCTCCGCGGCTGAGAGTTCGTTCCACCTCCGACTTTTGAGACGGGGGGCAACCCCTGTGCTCGAACCCTTCGCCAGGGATATCTTCCTTCCGCAGAAGCCTGCCACCCTCTGGTCCTTCGGCGCGCCTCTGAAATTCTTTCTTTCCAGACGGACCCCCATGTGTTCTACGTTTGAGTTGGCTGGGTGATATCTGTGTGTGGGGTTGTGTTGGACCCCTCAGGTGCTTCGACAGTTTCGCACTTCGCAGTTCCCAGGGACGGCGAGGTCTCATTGCGCTGGACCCCACTGAGCCCACGAGAGTGGCAGCAGTTGCGCACTTCGCAGCCCCAGGCAGGGCAAGATGCGAGGCAAGGTGGGAGGCAGGAGACAGGAGGAGGACGTGGGAAGAGCCAGGCGGGAGGCAAGGAAAGAGAGGAAGGAGGCGACAGCGCTCCGCTCGAGACGAGAGCCCGACGCGGGAGGGGCTGGGAAGCGTCACGCGTCCGCAGGCCTCCACCCTCGACCCTCCCCCCCCACATTCCTTGGGCCCCCAGGGAGCGCGAGACTAGCCACGCCTCGCGCGCCCCAGTTAGGGGGCCACATACGAAATCGTGGGGGGTCGGGGCAGGGTTCGCATGTTGCCCCCTACCAGTCCTGGCCAGAGTGGCTGCTCTGCTCCAAGGGGGGCGGCTTCAGGGCGCGAGGGCAACCGCGCGCCGCGCATCCCAGGGCGCGAGCGCGCGAAGCTTGGCGGCCTCGATTCCCAGGCAGCCGGCGCCCCAAAGTTTGAGTACCGTTTCACGGATCTTGATCCTTACCCCGATCCCCACCATGCCACCACCCTGGTTGGGAGTAGCCAGTGGGGCCCAGGCCACGCCAGCGGGGATGGGGATTGGTTAAACGTCGGCGGCGAGCCCAGGGGGAACTGAGAAGGGGCGGGTCTTCTCAGAAAGCTTTGATAATCTAGATGTAGTTATTCTACAGGCTTACGCCACATCCGCCGACCCCTTCTGTGACTGTTGCGAGGCCAGGAGTTTCTGGCCAGCGGCGTCTTGTGTGAGGGTGCGGTGTCGCGCGCGGGTGGTGGCAGATACGTAGGGGGTCCACATGATTGCGTGATGCCGGTGGTCTGGGGCGTGTTTTGCGAGCGCTTTGCGTGCTGTGCACCCGGGTGCGGGGTGTCCTTCTGGGAGGTCGGCCTCTCGCCCCTCAACCAAGTGGAGGAGCACCGGAAGACGAAAGGAGCAAGAGTAGCGTGCGGAAGCTGTGATCAGCGAAGCATCACCGCGAAAGATGTGGCAGATGAGTCGAAACGGGTGAAGAGGCTGTTGACGTTCGCAGCGCGCACGAAACAGTTCGCGTAGCAGCAGCACGTCGCGTAGCACAGCGCCGAGCAAGATTGTGAGCACGTCGCGAGGAAGAGCAAGGCTGCATGCGCGGAGTGCATTGCAGTTGGCTTGACGGCTCGCAATGCGGAAGCGTCTGGTGGTCTTTTGGAGGCCTCCTGGGGGCCTCTTGGGGGCTCCTTGGGGCGTCTTGGCGGCCTCTTGGGGGCCTCTGGCGGCCTCTTGGGGCACTCTTGGGGCCCCCTGGGGCTCGTGGGGGCGGGAAGCTAGATTTTTGAATTTTTGGTTGCCCTCTTGGGCCCCTCTTGGTGCCGTCTTGTCGGAAATGCGCGGAATAACGTCAGAGGACGACGCTTGAGTCCAATAATAGGAAACGGAGAGCCGAGGCGGAAGCGAAGCCGCTGACGTGCGCGGCGTGCGGAGGAGCGTTCTCAGACACGAAACATTTGAGGCAGAGCCAAAAAGAACATCATCGATGGTCGAATCAAAAAAGGGTGGTGTGCGGAAGCTGCGCGGCACTCGGGTTCACAGCCCGCAGTTGCCAGGCGTATCAGTGCAGCGGCGCGTGCAAGAGAAGACTACCGAAGTCGGCGTTCCCCGACCCTCACAATGTCCCGCGCGACGCAAAAAAAGGCACTCTGAAGTGCAAGACCTGCAAATGATGCCGAATCGGGCGCGCGCGCGCTGAGGAAAAAGGAGAACGAGGACAGGAGAATGGGGGGTGAGGCGGAGGACACAGGGGAGAATCATCGAACGTGTCGAGGTGACGGGCCATGAACAAGAGGAGGGGGACGAGGAGGAGGGGGACGAGGAGAGGGTGGTTGAGGAGGAGGATGAGGGGGACACTGAGAGGAGGCTCTGGGTTATGGTCTTTGGGTGAGAGGTTCTTGTATGTGTATCGGAATTTCGCGGCACTCCTTTCGGGGGCCTCTGGAAAGCAGTTTTGACGCCACTGGGGGGCCGACGTGGACAAGGCGGGTGAGGGGGAGGAGGAGGGGGACGCGGAGGAAATGTTCTGGGTCATGGTTTTGGAATTCTTCGCCTCGGGAGCGCGAATCCCGCTTGTGCGATGATCGCTGGGATCTCTGGTGGTGCTTCTCGCGGGACTCTTGGAGGCAGTTTCGAAGCCTCTTGGGGGCCGTTCTGGGGCCTCTTGGGGGGCCTCTTGGGGCGTCTTGGGGGCCTCTTGGGGCCTCTCGGGGCCTTTTAGGGCCGTCTCGGGGCGGAAGGCTCGGGATGTCAGTTCGGGCTCCCTCTCTTGGGCCCCTCTTGGGGCCGTCTTGGGGCTCTCTTGGGCCGTCCTGGGGGCCTCTTGGGCTGTCTTGGCGCCCTCTTGGGCGGACTTGGGCGCGTGTTGGGGGCCTCTTGGGCCGTCTTGGGGCGGTCTTGGGGTGCTCTTGGACCGTGTTCAACGCCGTGAAGGCCGAGAAGCCGTATATGATCAAAATGTACGTTTTCCATAGGAATTTGAAGATTTTCGGCTCTTCGGCCCTTCTGAGAACTGCTCTTGGAGGCCTCATGGGCCGTCTTGGAGGCCTCTTGGCCCGTCTTGGGGCCATCTTGGGCGCCTTGGAGCGTTCGTTTGGCGTCTCGGGGCCCTCGTGGGCCGTCTTGGAGGAGTCTTGGGGCCTTCTTGGGCCGCCTTGAGAGACTTTTGTGCCCAAAGAAGCTCCGTGAGTCGCTCGGGCGGGGCCATGGGGGGGGGTCAAATCGCCAGTTTGGGGTCCCTGGGGGGGGGGACTGTAGGGGGGGGAACTATCTCACACGCCTAGGGACCCACAAGGGGTCGGCGGACTTGCTCAGTAGAACGGGGACGGGGAGGCAGAAGGTGCTACTGAGCAGCTTCCATAGTCATGGGGGTTCAAGCCGCCCA